GTAAAGTTTGCTAAACATTACTTTAAAATGTCTCTTTTCAGACATAATCAATGTAAAAGATTATTAAAAGAATGGACAAAATTTTAACTATAATCCATTTTTAGGAACTAGTGAATGGTGACCTGATCCATCTGCCGCATTACTTCGCGGTGCCATTCATTAACGGAGTCATTCACATCGTGACTCGTTCGACAGTCCCTAGATCAGAATACCACAAGTTGTGGGACGTGGCCCGCGGCGCCCTACTTTTCCAACGAAGCTCAAACGACCTGGGAGCCGCCCTTTCCCTTACGCCCTGCTTGAAAGATATTATGCCTAAATACAGTGGATACAAAGACTTGAGAGACGGCAATCAGGCGCTGCTAGATTTCTTTACGGTATGAAGAAATATTGTTTGTTTTTAAATGGAGAGGAATTAGAAATAATTTATAAAATTTTATGGGTTATTGCATGTATTTCATGTAAATAATTTTTATTGTAATTTTAGAAACTTGTAAGGGAAGCGATAGACACCTTCAATGAAGATTACGACAGGAACTTCCTAGACATTTATATCAGAAAAATGAATGAGGAGAAGAAATTAAACAAAACAACGTACTCAGGTGAATACATTTTGTCATTACTTATGGTAAGGTATAAAGGGGAGCCGTAGAAATCGCCTCCAATCGCTAGAAGCGTTGAATTCGGTTGTAATTGCTTTAGGCTGCTTATAACTACATTACATAATATACATAATACATATTAAGTAATGGCATGATCCCACAACTGTAATTAAAACGTGACAGACTGCAAAACTTAGTGAATTATTGTTACTTCGACTACGCCTAGCCTATTGGACAAATGTTATTTCCAAACGTCACTTTATCACATTTCTTTTTACCGTAGAGGATCAGTTGGTATTGCTATGCACGGACTACATGTTCCCCGCGGCGTCTGCCGTGCAGGCACTACTCACTATGTTGGTGGACCGTTTGCTGTTGCATCCAGAAGCGCAGGACAAAGTGCACGAGGAGATCGACAGAGTCATTGGCCGCGACCGCATGCCTACACTGGACGATCGCAAAAAGTAAGAAAAAATATTTAAACTACGATATACTCAGCTCTCTCCGTTCGCTTCCTCTTTGATATTTGTAAGTTAAAATCAATGTTTGCTTACTTCTTACTTTGTCTTTAGCTTGCCGTACACAGAAGCTTGCATTAGAGAGGCTCTCCGCATGGACACGATCGTCCCGCTCGGAGTGTCTCACCGCGCCACCTCAGACACAAAGCTGGGCGGATACGATATCCCAGAGGTAATGTTTGTACATATTTTGGCTATTGCTTAAAGGACAGGATACGAGCACGCTCAAGTAGATGACAGTATGTTAGGGAACGCATATGTGCACTGCACTTCGGACATTAAATACAAATTTTTGGAGTAAGAGATTCGTTTCCATTAACGAAAGGATGTAATTTATTCTTTTATAAATTTTGTATGATAACAAGACAGTCACTTAAAGAGCTGACATTTACGTAAAATTACTTTAATCCTAAATATCTGATTAGACTTGACACCTTTAAGTAATAAGTGAAATACGATTAGGATTCGTGTTATCTTGTCTATTAGTTTCTATTTACCTTTTGCTTTCAGGATACAATGGTGAATCTAAACTTCGTGACGCTGCACATGAGCAAGGAGATCTGGGGCGACCCGGAGAACTTCAGACCTGAGCGATTTATTGAGAACGGACAGTTGCAGCTCAGCAAGGACAGGACGTTACCTTTCGGAGCAGGTAAGGGAAATTAATCATAACATTAGCATGGGTGTCCGGTTTGGCTTTCCTTTCTTTCTTCTTTCTTTCTGAGTAAAAGAGAGACTAAGAAACTATGAATATAGTGTAAATACAAGTTAACGCTGATTCTATTTTTGACTGACGTCAAAAAGGAGGATCACAGTTCGTATATTTTCGAATTAGGTTTATGTCATAGCTCTTGATGGACCAACTTTGATAATTCTTGTATGCTTTCCTTTAGGTGCATTTTTAAAGTCTGTCAAACAGCTTGATGTTTTGTGTTACAGGTCGCAGAATCTGTGCGGGAGAAACGTTCGCTCGTCAGACAATGTTCCAGGTGTTCTCGAGCTTCATGCAGGCGTTCAAGGTTTCTACAGCTGACGGCCTGCCTAAGACCAAGCCGGCGGTGAGGCTGCAAGGCATCATCACCTCTATCCCTGACTGCTGGGTCAAAGTCACGCCGCGAGTTTGAAACTACCGTATTGTAGAATCATTTACATTTTTCACAAGTTTTAAATTTATTGTGAATATGAAGTAAATGGAATCAATTATTGAAAAATTAAATAAAATTCAAAATTACTAAAATATTTTTAAGTACTTTGTATGTTGGGGTCTTGCACTACTTCGGAAATTTTTGGGATTTTTTTAGTAAAACTATTGATTTTATGTTATTTTCGGGGATCAATGGGATAAAAATTTGTTAATTTAATATTAAGTTCGTTTTAACTATTGTTGTCATTTACTACACTAAAACTGTAAAAATATTTAAAAAGTGTATGTTTCTTTCAACTAAGCAATACCGACTGAATTACGTTGTATAGATTAAGAATTATTTTAATAAATTATAATATAACATTCTTTTGTATTATTTACAGTCTCCTTGTCATCCGTACGTATTGAAACTCATGTGAGATTTAATTTTAAAGCGCCAATTTTAAATTCATGAAGTTTCCAATTTCGGCCGCCTTTTAGTCGCACTTGAATTTTGATTTTATTTTTTTAGCTCAATGGTTGATATTTTTTATGTCAATATTTTTCTGGTTATCTCATGATAAGTAGAAACGTTTAAAGAAAATCTTGCATATTCCCTATTGATTACTTAAATCAATGAATTTAAATTGATTCTCGTAATAATATGTTCGTTAGATTATAACCATACATTTAAGAAATATATAGACCAGGCACAGTGCAAAAAAATTCCATCGGTACTTTTTCTGATAGTTGTCAAGTTAGGTACGCCACCTCATGTTCTTGTATTGAAATGTAAAAAAAAAACAATTTTACAAAATAAAATGTAAAAATATCCTTTAATTTTTATTTAATAGCACCTATTGCCAATACAATCTACAAGTGTCAATTACGCCATGCCTTGTCTATATCTATTTTTTTTAAACTCTTTGATTTTAACTTGTAAATAATTTTGGGTTTTGGTTTTAATTACGCTTTAATGAAACAAGAAACTTAGTTAAAAAACATATATTTACACGCTATACATATTACTTCTTGAGTTTCTTCTTTTTCGTTGAATCAGTATTTTTCCGTTTATTGGGGGTTTTGAGAGATTTTTTAACTTCTGTTGTCTCCACATCTAGGACTTCTACGTCCATTTGTGCATCATCAGGTTGGTAGCTAAAGCCGGGTACACAGGGGCGCACCAGCTGGAACACCAGCTTCCTGTGCTGTAGGTTGCTGCTGTCCAGTGTAAGCCGCACCGTTAATTCATCGAACGTTTTTAACACTATATCACCACAAACTTGTATATGTTCCTGAAACAAAACAAATTAACCTATCAATCTAATATTACAAATACTGCAGTTTAGATGAATGGATGTTTGTTAGTTTGTAGCCTAAACAGCTGATTTTGATGAAAATTGACATAGTTGTAAAGAATAGTCTGGAAGAACACA